GGTAAGGGATTGATGATCTTCTGGTCTGGTTCTGAAGAGCGGGGAGGCACAACTCACCCGAGCGCAGGATGAGCACTCTGATACAGGCACCACGACTCCAGCCTGCTGTCAGGAGATTCGTCATGCAGTGGGGCTCAAAGAGCACAGCTCCAATGACGGGGGGGTGAGGCATGAGGTCCTGCCTGTGACGGACACACCTCTCGGCCAATCGGAGCCGAGGCGGCTGTGATGCGTTAAAAGCCGACTGGGTCAAAGACGAGCGGGTGGGAGGGGTCTGTCCACACTTCCTCACTCTCCCCCGTGTGCACTTACGGGGTTCACGATTGGAGAGAGTCCAGAATCAGGCGCGACAATCCTGAATTTGAAAAAAAAAACACGGGTGCAACAAAGAGAGCCCACTAGGGAGCTTAAAGAGCCACAGTCCAGCAGGTTTCATGAAGCACCCTCCAGTCATCGATTCTTAACCCCCTGCAACAACTTCATTAGGACCACCGCGGCAGGTGAGCTTTCAGCATTTGCTTTCTTACTGCTTTATTCAATACGGGGTCATAGCCTGTTTGAAATGAACACACCAGCCTCCCAGAGCAAGGGGTTCACCGAACCCCACAGTGACCTGTCGGCACTACTGCACTGTCTCTCTCCAGGACTATAAATGGATTTAGAGAGAGGCGATGTGAATCTGGATCACCAAATCAACCTTCTCACCCAGGGCAAGGTTGGAGATTAAGAACCCTAATGACAGACGTTAAACTTAAAACTGGTTGCAGTACAAGATATCATTTTTACCACAGGGTATCTGAAAATGCTTTCTGAAGTCTGAAACAAAACATACAAGCCAGAGAAGTTAAATAAACACACAGAGCTGGATTATCAACCCCCCTTTTTAAAGATGGAGAACTTCAATTTCTGAAGAAGCAAAATTAGCCTGTGGTTTTATCATTAAAATAGATGTTTTTCCTTTTTTGAAAGATAGAGAGGAACATTTGCCTCTTCCTCAAACCATTACAAAGATATATTCCCCTCCATATTAGATGAGTCTTGCTTATCTGATTAAAATGGTTTTACATTTTTTCCTTAATTTTACCAGTCAGACTGAGGATAAAGAGCTTGTCATGCACCACAAAGTACTGCGCACAGAAAGAAAAACTTTGAACTAAGTAAACTGTTCTGTGACCAAACAGAGCTGGGGGGGAGCAGAAAAATGCTCGTTCAAGCATTAACATAAAAATAAAAAAGGCTATTCTACAGCATACGCCATTGACAAGCAGACTGTGTTCACTTCAGTGCGAAAGGCTAAAACTGTCACCACTACATAAAATCGATCTTCACATTCCAGTGTGTAAATGCTCCTCCTTGTTCTCCTTGCTTCCCTAGCTCACATTGTCCTGCCCTTCGCACCCGCCCCACGACATCCGGCTCAAGGATCCTCCGAGCCAGAGGCAGACCCAGCGGAAAGCCGGGATTCAGATCCGCCGCGTCGAAGCCGGGGAAAACCAGGGAAAGAGAGGCCCGAGTCCTCCCGCCGCCCGGAGCACACTGCCCCCGCGTTCCGGCTGCTTCTGCGCGGATACGAACGCAAACCAGGAAATCCGCACTGTTCTTCCTCCCCCCCAAAGAAAAGGCAAGAAGCTCCAGCTGGGATGGGGACGGCGAGGCCGCTGCTCCGCGTCAGTGATGGCAGCAGTAGAAGTAGGAGCTCTTCTTCTGCGCCAGGTCCACCCCCTTCTCCTCTGCAAACAGAGCACAGCGGTCAGACACTGCGGCTCCTGCACAGCACCCCGGTTTCATTTCCTATCCTCCAGCTTTGGGGACTGGCAGGAGCAGGTCCCCCTCCCAGCACACGAGAACACAGTCCGTACAGCATGAATCACTTCACATTACTCCTGAAAGAGTACAGAATAAGACGAGAGGAACAGACTAACCTGACTTGCGGCGCAGTGTGCTGCACTGCACTCTCAATGCACACTCCACTGCACTGGCTGTGTGCGACAGGAGTGTCATAGGAAAACTCAAATATGATTAACCTACCAAGCAAAATACTATACTGTATATGACTTATTTTCTTGAAGATGCAAATACAAACGTTTTCTGATATGTTATTATCAAAAAGCTACTTAAAACTCAGACCGCATTATGCAGTTATCCAAATTAAAACGCACTGTGCAGCCAACTTCACTAAGTTTCAGACAGTGAACTGAAAACATGTATTTAACTGAATCAGATAATAACAGAAAATGCAAATGGGAACAGTATTCTTTTACAATTATCTAGATGCACATGGAGAGTCTATGATGGAGGTGAATGTGTGCTCAGTTTTATTCTGTCACAGCTCTTAAAAAGTTTAGAAACAAAATTACTCAATT